GCCCCTCTGCCCCTGCCTACAGCTGCTTTCCACACTCCCCAAGCTCCAGGGAATGAAACCAGCTCTTTCAGACATACATTTCCTCTCACGCCGGGAGCTGGGAGAGGCTCGAGGCTTTGAGCAGAGGCATGGAGAGGGGATGCCCTTTGAGGACCCTCGATTTGGTGGTAACCATCACACACAGCCCCCAGTGCCAGATCCCACCTGTCCACAACCCACGTCTCCTCTCCGTCTTCTGACAAGCCAGAAGCAGGGAGGTGGTTATATTTTTAGTCCTCAACTGAGGATATTTTTCAATTGATTTTTTTTTTTGAGAGAATGTAAGGGAGAGGGAAGAGAGAGAAACATTGATATGAAAGTGACAAATCAATTGGTTGCCTCCCACGCGTGCCCTGACCAGGGCCGAGGATCAAGCCTGCAACAGAGGTACGTGCCCTTGACGGGAATCAAACCCGGGACTCTTCAGTCTATGGGCCCATGCTCTATCCACTGAGCCAAACTACCTAGGGCAGGGAGGGTGGTTATCTTCATGAGATGGGGCTCAGTGGGAGGAATGTCCTCCCCAAGGTCACACAGCTGACCGTACCCACAGGAACTGGAGTCTGTTTTCAGATCCTGGTGACTGTAGGAATTCAGTCCTATGGCTGCCAGCTCACCTGTGCTCACCTGTACACTGGCACCAGGAATGGGAAGGAAGGTGTGTTAGCCAGTGACCAGAGGCTTGTCTGTTCGACCATGGGCTCCTTAGCTCAGGAACAAGGTCAGATTCACTTTCATGGTTCCCAGGCCAGTGATTGGCAGTGGGACTAGGTGGATGGACTGATAGATGGCCGATCGGTGGCTGGTCACAAGGTGGAGGTGATGGCAGCCTTTGGTAATCTGGCGATTATACCTTTAAATGCTGTAATAATATAGTAACTGAGATTGTGTCTTCATAGTAAATTTTCATATTAATTCAAAGAATCTTCACAACAACCCGAGGCCCAAGAAAACTCAACTAGTTAGTGACAGATAAGACCAGCTACATAATTCGTTGTGCAAAAATAAAAC